CGAGCCAAAATGAAACATTTAAACACTTTCTCATCTGTTGTAAACATACCTACTTGCGTCATAGAGTAGGTCTACAACAGTCTGTGAGATATTTCCTGTTTTAAGACTAGCAAAACGCCTTTCTGATGATGTATCTTGAAGGTGTAAGGAACTTCTGAAGAACTACAAATGCTTTAGGGCAATTACTTAAGTAAAGGCAGTTAGAAATGTCTATTCTCTCTCTGCTAGCTGGCTAACTCAGAGGAAAGCCAACAGATAGCTAACAGTACTGCTAGGTAGCTGAAAAGATTCCCAAAGGTTGTATACTGCGCTTGTGTAATGCATGCTGGGTATTATAGTGAGAGAACCGTGAGTGTGTTTACGTGTACTTAATAACGTGTACTCTGATAACTGCAGAAAATCAGATCTTGTCATTAATCCGATCAACACATTTATATGCACTTGAGTAATCAGATAATGGGGAAACTCTGAGTCTACATGAGTCAGACAGTAATCGGATTTCTGCTTTGCGACCAGTCAATAAACTCACCAAATAAGACGTGATGTAAACATAAAATAGGAAAATAGGAACATACATCATCTAGAAGATGAAGTATATTTAAATCCTTGATTTCGTCAAGCATGTAGTTGGTTTCAGCGTCGCTTCAGCTGTCTCGCGGCAACACTGCTTGCTTATTTCCGTTACCGCCACCTGTTTCTCACAGACAAATATGAAAGAAATCAGAGTTTATATGCACTGAGAAATTGATTACTAATTTCGTAATCGGATTTCTAGACCTTATGCCGATCTAAGAAATTGGAGTATGCTGTTTACCATTTGAATAAACCGATAACTGCAGATATCCGATTATGATTGGAATATTGAGTGCATGTAAACGCACTCATTGATTGGACAGAAACAAAAAGGACACAAAATCATGTATTCTGTCAAACAGATGAGGGATACGATGCAGCCCAACTAAACATTACATAACATATTAAACGCTAGTTTACGCTGAACCACCCTTTTAAATCCATTACTTTATTAATCCTCAAAATTACTAATAACAGGGACAGGCAAATTTAATTATTAACTTCACCACAATAACGGATGTGGGCTGTGGCCATTTGGGTTGTTTTCTGATGTTTGTTTATCTGATGGCTGTCTCTGTTGACAGCAGCTCTATCCAAGAGTCCTGGTTGGGTACAAAGTGTCCAAGCCTGGGGCCAGAGCTTGAGCTCAACAGCTGATGCACGCCGGGGTCTATTTGGAGAGCGTCTGCAGCTGCCCGCCGGTCACAGGCAGCCGGGGCCAGAAACACGGAAGCCCCTTCAGGAAATGTGTCAGTATGTAAGCACACCAAAGATCATGTCCAATTACCTGCAATGACACGGGGGCTCAGCTTTCGCGCAGCTGATCGCCAATCCTGTGGCACCTCCCCTCCCTGCCAAGTTTGTCCGGCTGATGCTGACAGCCAGTGGCCCAAGTGGGCGAGGGTTGGAAGGGAGAGCAAGCTTGAGAGCTTTTGGAGAGGCGAGAGGTCAGTTGAGAACAGGACAGGCCTTAGGAAAGTTCTGACGTCCACAAGATCTCCAAGGCTGCTTTCACAGCTCTCAGAGAGGTCTATTTTGGTGCTGTTAATTCTAATTCCCAACAGCTCACATTGTAATGGCCACAGAGGGCACAGACATCATCAAAGTGCACCATCAAAGCTAATTTTAACCTGCCAAAGTCTGTAGGTGATCAACACTCAGCTAGCTACTTTCCTGAGCTTTAGATACAAAAATGAAAACTGTTCAAAGGAATTGTTCAAAAATGAGTCATTGAAGAAAAAGTTTACTTTTTTTTAGTTTTGTGCAAATATGAAAGTACTAGAAGATTATGTACACCAATTGTCATAGTGCAAACTGTGCATCTATATCATACAGATCATAACAAATCATAATTTTATACCATTTTCATGTTTTTTTCATCAGTGATCTCTCACTACAATACCCAGCATGCATTACACAAATACATCTTGAAATCCCTGAGATGTCACCCAGTCCTGACTGCTTGCCTAGCTACTGATCTGTAGGCCTATAAATTCAACCAAGCCTGCATTAATGTAACTCTTACTTCAGTCAGTAACAAAGTTGTAAAGAAAACATTTTAGCCAGATAAAAAAAAACAAACTGAGGTAAACTATCTAGCTGGCCTTGCTAACCTTAGCTTTTAGCCTGTCCTCCCTAGGAAGCCAAACTGAGGTAAACTATCTAGCTGGTCTTGCTAACCTCATCTTTTAGCCTGTCCTCCCTAAGAAGCCAAACTGAGGTAAACTATCTAGCTGGCCTTGCTAACCTTAGCTTTTAGCCTGTCCTCCCTGAGAAGCCTAACTGAGGTAAGGTATCTAGCTGGCCTTGCTAACCTTAGCTTTTAGTTTGTCCTCCCTAAGAAGCCAAACTGAGGTAAGGTATCTAGCTGGCCTTGCTAACCTTAGCTTTTAGCCTGTCCTCCCTGAGAAGCCAAACTGAGGTAAAATATCTAGCTGGCCTTGCTAACCTCATCTTTTAGCTTGTCCTCCTCATCTGATAAGTAGTTTTTGTCATTCTAGTAATCTGTTCTCTACACTGTAGGGATGATATGAAGACAGTTATGCAGCTGCAATAAGATATTCAGCTTCCAAGCAGTGATGTTAGCCTCGACAGCTAGATTCAACATTTCAAACATTCCCAAAAAACTCCACGTCAATGCAATTGTATCTTTTCGAAGGCTCCTCAAGATACACCATCATGAGGGTTTTTTTCCTAGTTTTAAACCTGAATATCTCAGACTATAGAAACTACTAGGGCACCACTGTAGGAGGCCAGTAGATAGGTTTACAACAGATGTAGCAATTGTACAAGTTTCATTTTGGCCATATTTCAAATTTCAACTTTATGTGGTTTATGACACTGTATGACATGCTGTTATCTATAAAAATGGACAAAAGTATTTTGTACGGACAACAAGCAGCCATCGTAATGCTTGATTTTTTCCATACTTTCATTTATTGTTCAAATTTAAGCTTACATTACTAGCAACATTGGGGGTTGATTTCATAAATCAAACTGTATTTGTTTTGCTATTCCTTTAAACCCTAAGCATTTGTTTGCAGGCCCAGATTTTGATTGATTCTCGTAACATAAATACTAGTTTCACAGTAGTTACCGAATAAAAAGTCGACTAATAACTGAGCCAAGGTGAATGCATAAACTGCATATTCCAGCAATCCAACATGCAGCATCACCATGACATCACAAATAAAGTAATAGCACATTGTAGTAAAAAGTTAATAAAATACTGAATGGCAATCTACTGAGGTCATCACCATTATTGTTATGTAACCCTAACATATGTAATTGCGTAACAAATGGCCAACCACAGGCCGGCATACGCACATCATTATAATGGCCTCTTTCCACCTGTGAAATGCTCATATGTTCCTCACCATTACCGTCTGCTTCAGGCAAAGAGGTGTTTGATGGCACTGCTTCTGTGACCACTTTCTCTAACTTTCCATAGGCTTTTATGACCAACCAACCCAGCCAGAGCCCTGGGTCCACCAGTCCAGTCCAGTCCAGAGAATGAACATAGCAGGACTCAGAAAGGCCAAAACTGACAATGCGGCATCCTTTAGAGAAATGCCTGTTGAAGTGACTCAGTGACTGTGGGCTATTTGTGAAAAGCTCAGCCTCATCTTTGGGAAGAAAGGAGAGGAAATGGGTTGGGAGGCTGTCTTCCTCCCTCACAAAACTGACAGCATGAAATCTTAAAAATAATACAATTTTCTCAGTTGGTAAAAGACCAATCACGCTGTGGAAAAGACTGAAGACAACTGTGGAAATTGCTTCCAGATCTGCGTGAGCAAGGATGTAGAGAGATTTTTATCATAATAGATTCGGCATGAGAGGTCTGTGAAGCTTACAAAGATTACATAACTGCATTCTTTAAAATACACAGATTTCATTATTACTGTATGCAAAGGAGTTCGTCTGAACACATTTCTATGTACTACTACAGATCACAGTCAGCATGGAGACAAGAGTGTGTAATTGGTGCCCAAGAGAATTGTGAGTGCAAGTTTTCAGATAGCTTGAGCATGTGGACACACACCCAAGCATTTGTTGCCATAACAAGATCTATCCATTTTTGGTACCTCAATATGGAATTTGAATTAATAATAACAATAATAGCAACATTTTTTCTTAAAGTAATTTTAAGACAGTTCTTAACTAACAAGCACTGAGAAGTGTTCTCTCTGTGGAGGATGTGTTAAAGTATTTTCAAATCAACAAATACGTCATTTTACAAGGGGTGTGCAAACTTTTGCATCTGACTGTACGTGCAGATAATATGGTATTACTGTAGGATCTCATCACCCAACATGTTTAAAAGTTCTATTATATTCATGTGTGGGAATTCTAGTGTCTTGCTATGGTTTGCATGTAATACAGTTGTATCCAAAAGTTTGGGCGCCCCTGAACAAAATACATGCTTTGTAGATTTGTGAAAATAAGTTAACACATCCTTTACAGAGAACACACTTCTGCACATTTTAATGCACAATTACTGTTTATTTGCTGAAATTAACATTCTGAAAAAAAAACAGTGGTCTGTGCAAAAGTTATAATTTTATATTTTATGTTTTGTTCATTAAACTAAATTTAACTAAAACAAATAAACAGAAGTAGTGCATTAATTAGCAATTCCAACTAGAAAATCAACAAAACATGTAATTTGATTAGGAGTGTTCAAACTTTTGCATATGATGGTTAAACGTTACAGACAGTTCTTTAACCCGGCTCTTAAAGAGCTTTTACTGTAGTAACTTCATTAACCGTCACCGGGTACAGGCCTATGTTGCGCTATTATTAATTAATCAATTCATTCATTAATTAATTAAATTATTGATTTTTCATTTAGAAATTTGTGAAAAACACTCATTCCAAATCTTGATGGTGACAACACAAAACAAAAAATAAAGAAGAGAACATCACCCTTTCATTATTCATAATTATTATTATTAGATGATAACAGACAAGACACAACATGATTACAAAAGATGGTCCATCTTCATGAAACTGCCCCTTGATCCTGTCGATCCTCGTCTCTGTTCGTGCGTGTTCTCCTGTGATTCCTCAACCATGATACTTAAACTCACAGGGAGGCTTTGTTTAGACAGCCAGTCACATTAGATCAAAACATTTTTCCCCCCACATCAGATATGGAGCTGATGTTTTCCTTGAAGTCCATGCAGCGATCAATCGCCTCCACCCAGAACTTTTCAGTTCCGATTTAGACCAAGTTCAAACACTGACAGAGTCATTTCTGCCTAGGATCACGTGACAATCGCTCAGCTCTACTCTCAAATCTGACCGCCTCAAGGAGAAAAATAAGTTTGATTTGGACCCTTCACTCTGCTGTATCCTGGGCTGCTCTCGGGGTCTAAGTAAATGCACGACAACTGGGCTGTGCTCTAGGGCCTAGCTCACTGAAACTGCTGCAGATTTGGCGTCGTGATGAGCACAGTCCTTCTGAGGATCATGCAATAGTGTCGCACCTTCAGACGTCCTGTGGTCAGCACCCACTGCTTCTGATACACTAGTGAATCCTTGTGCCCTGCAAAACCAACATGCAATACTTTTAATGTCTTCACCTTAACATTGTCATTCAATTCATTTAACAATAAGTAATGAACAAGGTAATTTATTGACAAGTCTTAAAATAGGCTGGGTGCACTCACATTAAGAGCTCATGTAGTTCCCTTTTGATCTTGTTGACAACAGGAGGTCCCTGGTACACCAGCGCTGTGTAGAGTTGAACTAGTGAGGCTCCGGCACGGATCTTATCCAGGGCGTCCTGACCACTGGCTACTCCACCCACTCCAATAATGGGCACCTTCCCTGCAAACAAGCAAAAGCAGTGGCTTACTCTAATTCACTTGAGCCTTTAGCACTATTAGAACTGGACTAGTTTACAGAGGAATTTCAACAATTTTTCAAAATTTCTCCAAAATTCAATTATTGAGATGTAAACAAAGTCATTCAGAGTTGGATATGAAATGCTGCATTCTAGAGAAACTTGCTGAGTCTGAAATGTTCACTGCAGCTGTGATAGGAACAAATACACTGCCTGGTGCCTGAGAAAATGCTACTGATGAGATCATTATAATCCATTCATGGCAGAAAGGTACACGTAGGGCGTTGTAGTACCCCGTAAGAAATCTTATTTTTTCAGATTTCCCACTATTGTATTGTATTACCAACATTACACATAAAACTCACATAAATGTTGTTGATGTGAAGACACATAAATGTTCACTGGTCATTTTGGATGGTAAATAAAAAGGCCATATTTTTGCTGTAGACATTGCAACTCCTGGTTCCTTTCACCACCACTGTTAAGAAGTATGAGTCAGCAAGTTTCTCTACAATTAAGTATTTCACATCAAAACTCTGGTTACATTCCAATGACTGAATTATGCATAAAACATGGGGGGGGGGATCCCCCTTTTAACTAGGTTCTATAGTGTAAGTTGTAAAAGATTTAACCGACCAAACAGACATCAGGGAAAGTTGCTGTGAGATAATAAAATAATTAAGAAAATAATTAGGCTAGTAAACTGGGCTAGCCTTCAGTTCATTCAGATTGCCAAATGCTACCCAATAACACAACTGCACTGCCTTTAAAGTGGTACTTTCATGTATTTCTTTTTTTTTTATTAGCCCTTCACCAAAAACGTAGCTTACAGGGCTATGTTAAAGGTAAAGAAACTGTATCACATCATAATTTCTTTCAGCGCTATATATAAAGTCCACGGTTACCAGGTTTTGTTACATTATTGTAAGATCAGTTCCATCAAAACTACCACTGCTGAGGATGCTCTGCATTAAGCCCATTACAGAAAGTCATTCACTCCAGAATTATTACTGTAAAACTATAGCAGATTCACCTGTATGTGTTGTTTATGTGGGTTTGTCTTTGTTTAAGTTAGACATTTTTTATTGTTATATAATTGTTATTGTGTATATATTGTGTTAGATTTCACATATTTAATGTGGAGTGTTCATTTTGCGTTTTTAATTTAAGCAACTTAAAGTTGCCTTTTAACATCTAGCCAGGGATAAAAAATACAACAGAAAAAATAGCCTTTTTCGTGGCTCATTTGCAGTTCTGTTAATACTGTTTATTAGTGAGCCATGTCCCTGACAGATTCATAATAAATAAACAAATTCATACTTGATTAAAATCATTGATCTCATTCTTATATAACCTCCCTAAGCATGTACTGGTTTTTACCTTTCGTCAAGGTGTACATCTCCCGCACCACGCAAGTGGACAGCTCTTTGAGAGGCTGACCACTGAGCCCCCCAGTCTCATTCTTTTTGGGGTCCTGCAGAGTCTCAGGTCTGGATACCGTGGTGTTGGAGACTATTAAGCCATCCAAGCCAAGCTAACACAGAAGAGCACACTGGTCAACAAAGGCACTGACTCTGTGTCCCAATGGATTTTTCTATCTATACATGCATTTTATCAATATAAATGTATATTTCTCTAACTGACCTCTGTGATGACCTCAGCAATGTCTTGTTTGTCCTGCTGTGAAAGATCAGGAGCAATCTTCACCATCACTGGCGGCCGGTTCGTCCCTTGCAGAGAGTCACGCTCTTTCAGTACCTGTGTGCAAACACACACTACGGGTATAATTCAATAACCTCACAATTTTATTATGGTCAAAGATTAGCAAATATTTAGCAACTTACTTGATTTATATTTTATCGAATACCATTATAATCACTTACAGGTCTGTGCAAAAGTGCACAAGAGCACTTTTTCACTTATTTGATTTTAATCAATATATTTACCATAAAATTACACAAAATATATGTAAACACACTTATATGTTTAAATATAAAAATAAAAAAATAAAAAATAAAAAAATATATGAAAAAAAGCAGATTTAACAAAGTTACACAAAAGCCTTAACAACTAATTATCACACTAGATTTTTCAGTATTTAGGGTGTCAACTCTTTGCTTTCATTACAGCTTCTATTATTTTAGAGAGACTCGCTTTTAGTTTTTCAAAGAAATCTGCAGGATTATTTTTTCACACCTCCAAAGTTCAGTCTAGAAGTTGTACAACCAGTCTTGGTTGTATTTATTGATTCTCACCATGCAAGTAATCACAATTATAAACTTAGACTCATCAATACATAAAACTTTACTCCACGTCTCAGATGTTTCATTTCGGTGTTCTAGTGCAAATTTTCTTTTTTGTCTATTTGCTTTTCTCAGTAATGGCTTCTTGACAGCTACACATCCTTTCAGACTCATAGTGTTGAGTTGTCTTCTCACAGTGGAAGGATGGACAGAAACACCTGTGGATTTTTTTAGATCTGAATCAGAATCTGAGAGTACAGCCTGATTTTTTTCCTCTCTCTCAAAGATGAAAGCTTTAAGTACTGTATATCTGATGGAGACAGTTTTGGTGGTTTATCATGGTGGTCTTGGACTGATAGTACCATTTTCTTTGTTTCTTTTAATCATTTTTCTGAACTCCAGTGCAGTTTTTATCACCTCTTTTCTTTTGACGTTCCCCTTCCCTACGACACCACTGGGAGCAGCTTTTGCTGGGAAGCCACAGCTGTAACCCACTGGTTTTAAGATAGAAAGGATGGAGAATTAAAATAGTAGTAGGTGCACAAAAGTAAAGAATGGAAAAAATTTAATACTGATAGATTTGACATTATACTTGGAGGCTTTTGCATGTGTAAATGTATGTTTCCTGCTTTTTTCTGATACTGATAAATGAATGGCTTAATGGCCTTTTTGACTGAAATTAAATAAATAAATAAAAGCGTGTTTTCTGACACAATGCTGTTAAATCGATTCTAACATTCCCAAAAATCAATGCCTCAAAGTTTGCTTACACCCCTGTACAGTGCAATACTTCACAAAACACCCCTAAGGCACTTCTACATGCCAGACAAAGCAAGTCCAACTACAGCTGTCCAGTTACATCACAAGAAAAAAATGCTGCAAAACACTGAGTGACAGGAAACAAACAAAACAACCGCCAGCTGCTACACCAAGTAATCGGTAGCTGTGTTTTGGTACTCAGTAGCTGGACTCTGCTCTACCTTCTCCAGAAGATGGCGCAGTTCTTCTTTGCCCTGCAAGTTTCGGAGGCCAGGAGTGTTGGGGCTGCTAACATTCACCACCAGGTAATCAGCGAGGGGGCCGAGAGTCCGCACGCCCTCCAGGTAATCAGCCGCCGCGTCAGTGGACAGCTTGTTTTTACCTAGGTTGATGCCAAGAGGTGTGCCTGCTGAGAGAGCACAATAGCGCCATTACAGAGGAGTCGTGTTGAGCTGTAAGCACTACAGAGGCTCATTCAAATGACTGGGAAAAAAGCCCAGAGTGAATGAATAATAACAGGTGTGCAGTAGAGACTGAGGAGAATGCTTGTTTTTCTCAGTGCGCTCCAGAATGATTCTCATTTAACTGGAGAGATGCAGTGAACTGACTGCTTTGTGGCTCCATTCCAAGTCGATGCTCACAGCGTTTACAGCGGATAAACATCCTTGATTGTAATTTCTTCTAACACGAGCCAAGGACAGCTTTTAAGACAGGCGAGGCAGGAGGATGTAAAATGTTCTCAGGTTTACCTCTTGTGAGTTCCGACTGAACACATGCTCTGGCTTTTAATCTGTCCTGAACGGCTAACAGGCCACAGCTGTTGAACCCGTATCTGAAACACATGCACACACACAGCCAGTGTTGTCATTGTCATTAATTTACCATTCGGCAAAGCTCAACATTAGCATAGGAATATACAGACGAAGATAAACGCAGCATAAACCTTGTTTGCGCTTACTGGGTTCATTTCTGTTTCATTGACTATATTCCTCTGAATCTATCTAAGCACATCTTTCGCTAGTAAACATATCCATCTATGAACAGCAGGATGTAATAAATGCAGTCTTTCATCTCTTTCATCTCACATCTGACTCAGCACGACTCACGGGCTGTGTTCTAGCGTGTGTGTTTTCCAGTGTGTTTGTTTTAGTAGCATGTAAGGCTCTGTATGACGTCTTTCTTATCAATGTGAATGTGTGACAGTATTTTGACTGCTGTGAAAGGCTTTGTTCACACTGCAGATAGAAATGGCCCAAATCTGATCTTTTTCTTACTATGTGACACAGATTTGATTTTTTACGTGTAAACACTAAATCTGATGGTTTCAGTTTGGGTTTTTAATGCCACTTTTATAGGTGGCATTAAAATCTGTTACATATCTGTTATCCGGCAATGTGACTTCTGTCTGAACAGCTCTCGTGTGTCAATCCAACTCAGTCTTTATCATAATTTCTTCTTACGTCAACATCATCAAAATGGCTGTTAGTATGTTTATGCTTCACGTCTTTCATTTAGGAGGAGCTAGACAAGCACAGGCAGTGTGAACCACAGATATACATACACAGATGCCGTGTTGGGTTCAGCTAGGCACATCAACAGCAACACAGCTGCCAGACTGCATTCAGTACAAAGAAAGCTACCGTCCAAATTTATACTACTTAAAGAACATAATACTTAGAAAGTGGGACAGGATTACGTAACAGAGAGAACTCAGCGATCGACACTCATGTTTGTGCAATGTTTAAGTACAGATATGACCATGTGTTTGGTGAAGCACAGAGAACTTGGTGGTATTAGCTGTTTTTCCTCTGGTTTAGTATTAAGCATATTTCATTTACTAAGCTTATTTTGTTTAATAATATACACAGATTATTAAATCTATAGATTATTATAGATTAATATAGATTATAGATTAATATAGATTAGTAGATCTATATCTTTACTTGACCCTTTTTAAGAGCATGATCTATTTAGACTGATGTCAGATACAGGTCACATTAACAAAAGAACAACAGCAGGTAAAAGTGGCCCAAATTTGATTTTCTAACCAAATCCGATTTTTTGTTTGGCTGTTTACAATATCTTTTAAATGTGATCTGTATGTGACATCAGTCTGAACAGATCAGCTCCTAAACTGACCCACATGCGCAAAAGAACAGTGGCTCATCCAGAGGTAAACAATCATGACTATGAACGAACGCCAGCCACTCCCAGACGAGACATCATGAAGCTTCATTGACTGACAGCTGGGCTCATCACCCAGAATGTGTTCGAGCTCGCCGTAAAAAGGGCGTGGTCACTTCTTTGATTCATGTCTTCGGATTCTTTAAACTCTGCTTTCAGATCTTTAACTGTTCTTCGACACTGCAGCCTCGCTCTCCTACGGCCGCGCTCGGCCGTTTCTTTCTTTCGCAATCTCTTCAAACACAGAGGGATTCGGATAAGCATCTTCTAATGTTTGTAAGAAAACATCACAACAAATGTTTATGAGGTCTCAGCAGCGCTAAGTTATGATGAATGTCGAGTTGGATTCACGTAAAAGTCGCATGAATTCCGATCTGGCTGTTCAGACTGAGCCGCACAGCCGCAGATCAGATACGTATCGGATGTCAGTACCACATACAAAATTGTCTCAAATCGGAATTGACAATGTCAGATTCAGTGTTTTTTGCTGTTCACACTGACACACAGATGACACATCTGTGTCCCAAATGAAGAAAAAGATCAGATTTGGGCCACTTTTTCCTGCTGCGTGAACAAAGCCTTTCATATGTGGTACTGAAATCCGATACGGATCCAATATGCATTCAATGTGAGTCTATACAGCCAGATTGGAATTCATGCAACATTTATGTCAACCCAACTCTAAATGCGTCATAATTTCGCACTGCTGAGACTGCCAACATTTGGGGTGTACAAACAAAATTAGAAGACTCTTCTAATTGCTCCGTGTTCAAAGAAATTTCGAAAGCAATGACCGAATGTGGCCACAGGAGAACGAAGCTGCAGCGTTAAAGAAATGTTAAGAGTCTGAAAGCCAAGTTTCAAGAAACCAAGGACGCGAACGAAAGAAGTGACCGTGGCCGAATAACTTGGCCTTTTTACAGCGAGCTCGAGTGCATTCTGGGCGATGAGACCAGCTGTCGACCATCGCAACATCTTTTTTAGCTTCTGTGATGCTGGCAAAGATGAAATTGAAATCTGCAGGAGTGACTGTTACTGTTGATTCCTTTTTAATTGTTTACACCTGGATGAGCCACGTGAAGCATTGTTCTTTTGCGCATGTAGGTCAGTTTAGGAGCGTGATCTGTTCAGACTAATGTCGCATATAGGTCACCTTTAAAAGACACTGTGACAGCCTAAGAAAAAAATCAGATTTAGCCACTTGACCTGAGAGACCTGCCTTTATTAATTTAACAAAAACATCCTGTAAGTACAAGTTATTCATTTTTCAGCATCAGATAAAAACAAGAAACATATTTAACAGAGAAATACAGAGAAGCATTAAAGAAATATGATACCAATTTTAAGTACTATTAAAAAGACACTGTTTGCCTTTTATATCTTCCATTGTTTTTAGGGGAGTTCTGGCATATTTTTCCACACCTCCAAAGTCCAGTCATGCTTCTCAAGATCCAATTAATCACAAACACCTTCAATGATGTTGAGATCTGGACTCAGGGGTGGTCAGTCCATTGTTCTGAGAACAGCAGCAGCTTCTTTGTTTGATTAGCAAGTTTTCTTTCTTTTTTTTGTCCATTTCCTTTTCTCAGTAAGGGCTTCTTGACAGCTACACATCCTTTCAGACCCATAGCGCTGAGTTGTCTTCTCACAGTGGAAGGATGGACAGAAACACCTGTGGATGTTTTCAGATCTGAAGCAGCTTGATTTTCTCCTCTCTCTCAGAGATGAAAGCTTTAAGTGCTGTTTATCTGATGGTGACATGACTGGTGGTCTACCAGGTCATGCACAGTTGTTAGGAGTCCCTTTTGCTCTACGTCTTTGAATATTTCTTTTAGAACTCTACTTTTGTAAACTCGCGTTTTACCACTTGGCATCCTTTCATTGACTTCCTTATGCAAGTGGATTGTTTTATATCTAATCTTCTGAAAAATAATACAGGAAAAAAACAGAAACTTCCAAAACTACACTCTTAAAAAAGATGGTTCTTCAAGCGTTCTTTAGTAAAGAAAATGGTTCTGTATAGAACCATGAACACTCAAAGAATCCTTTGCATGAATAAAGGTTTTTTGAAAAGGGTTCTAAATAGCAGCAAAGAGTTCTTCTATTGTTACGATGTCGAGCTTGTATAAATGAAAGAACCTTCTGTGGTACTTTTTCAAAAAGGTTCTATGTATGTCCATCAATCTGAAGAACCATTTCATAATGCAAAGAACCCCTTTATCATGCAAAGGATTCTTCGAGTGTTCATGATTCTATATAGAATGATTTCTTTACTTAAGAACCCTTGAAGAACCCTCATTTCTAAGTCTGTAGAGTTAAAAAATAAAAATAAAAATAAACCTAAGACACAGACAGCCATCCATCCATCAAGTCACCGTGAGCTTTCATCTTTGAGAAAGAGGAGAAAATGAAGCTCTATTCTTGCTTCAGATCTGAAACAAAACACAGGTGTTTCTGTCCGTCTGACCACTGTGAGAAGACAACTTAGCACTACGGATCTGAAAAGATGTGTAGCTGTAAAGAAGCCCTTAATGAGAAAAGCAAACAGAAACAAAACAAAAGAAATCAAACAAAGAAGCTGCTGTTCAACATCTCAACATCACTGAATGTGTTTGTTATTACTTGGATTGTGAGAAGCAGAAAATGCAGCCAACTTCTAAGACTGAACTTAGGAGCTGTGGAAAAACACTCCTGTAGATTTTTGGAAAAACTGAATTAATGTCTCCAAAAAAATAGAAGCTGTAAAAATGTATATTATATTTAGCTGTTGAGGCTTTTCTGTAGTTAAATATATATTCACTGCTTTTTTTCCAGATGCTGAAAAATTATTAACTTTTTAGCCGTTTTTTACCCAAAAGGAAATAAATGAAGGGTGGTCTCCAACTTTTAAATAGTACTGTAAATTAGTAACTACACTGAGAGAGAAAGGTGTTTATAGCGCATGTGAGAGGGCAACTTTCAAATGTTATGCAAGATGCGTATCCAAGAGAGAATTTGCCATTCAAAACCTTTAGCATTCACACAGAGCGCTCATTTACTTCCAAGTGGAGGAAGCCCATATTAAAAAAAAGCCCAGGCAGGACTCGCTTTATTGGCTGATAATGGTATGTAGCGAGAATCAAAGTCACTCACAGTTTTGAATTTTAATACAAGCCATACAGGCTACAGCCATATAGCGATATATTTTGCTATTTATTTTTCGATTGAAGGTGCAGGACATGCCTGCATCAGACATTACTAATTCTGACAGGCCAATTTCTACACAAGCTGTACAACTATTCAAACAGCTCGCATCTCATTTGCATAATATTGTACGCTCATTTGGCTTATGAGTATAGTGGACATAGAGAAAAACACTGATTGCACACATTATCTACCATCATTTCACTACAGCTCTGAGCTTCATCAGACATAAACATGGAATCTATGAGGTAGGCTAACGCCAACACACTACACTATATTCTTCAACTTTATATTCATAGGGTGGTCATAATAAATCTGACAGTCTGTACAGAAACATATTAAACGTATCCAAAACGAACCTTTAGACTAATGTTATAATACAAACAGAGAGAACTAATGAAAAATAAGAAGAGGCAACTAAATAAAAAAAAAAACCACAAAGGCTTAGGCATGGATCTACCCATAGTGCTACAATTTTTTTATTATTTAAGTTTTGTATTGTATTTTAAGAAGTTAGACAATTGTGGAAAACATTCATATCAGTCACTAAAACTAATTATGAAAGTACATATAAAGTTATACTGGATGATTTTTAGCCTCTTAAAATGAGCATCAGTGTCAGCCACACTATTTTCATACTGGTTTGGCTCTAATCACAACAGCTCAACTTGATTTATCTGATTAATAGGGATGCACTATACTTTACAATCAACTTGGCCAATAGCTGCTGTTTTTGGATGATTTTTGTTACCCTTTTCTCTTGACCCAGCGGTTATGTTTCCATCGACTTTCCAAGCAGTAAAAAATGTGCTTAAAAACTTTCTGCTGCTTAGAAGCTGCCTGTTTCCATCAAACTGACTTTTAGCGATAAAAATGCTTTACATCATTTCCTGCAAAACAAACAAATTTTTTTTATTGATAAAAGTTGTATTTGACATGTTACCATCTTTAATTTCCTGTATATGAATGTTTTTGGTTGTTTTCCATTTTTTTATCATTATTACCACTTTTCAACCCTTAGTAGGGAGCTCATGTTTCTCCATTCAAAGCTGTCAGAGAATTTTCTATTTGGAAAAGCTGTAGCCTTTTCTGGACATCTCTCTCACATGACACTACATTAATGCATAAATGCAGCATTTTTCCAGAAATAACAAGTTTCCATATAGAAGTTAAAGGGAATTTTTTTTTATTAATATTCAAAAAAAAATTCTATGAATTTCCATTTCCATAGTTTAGCTCCGCAAACCTTTTTAAAGCATTAAAACATTTCTCACCAAAAAAGATCCTTTGGATTGACTTTTGCTACAGTGTGCAGCAAAATTAACACAAGAAACCCACTAACACATTCCCAATACTTTCTCAATGTAATGAAACATCAGTTGCCTATTTAAATAACATGAATCAAAAAAGTCAAAAGTAAGAGACAACTGGCTATTCAGCGCAATCAGTCATACATAATTAGACTGCGATCTTTTTGTATTGGTGTAGCAGCAGAATTTAAACACAGCATGAGCACTTACCTGCCTTACACTGTTTCCACCCGAAAAATCAACTGAATCGTGGATCAGCCAAAATAAAAAGTATTAAACTGTCCAATTACTGATCATGTGTTCGGAGCAAAAATTTTCCAATTCTGATTGTGCATCCACACTGATTACGTCACCTGGCAGACTGCTTTAAACCAGTGCTTTCCATGCACTTGCAATGCATTAAGGCACTTATTTAAAATTCAGTAGTGGCTTTTTACTCTTTAAACTTTATCCCTTAGATGTTGAGTTTTTACTATCAATTTGCTATACGGCCTACTATTCAAACATAATTAAATTATTACATATTTAATTGCATTATAAGTTACGTGTCATGGTGCATCAACTGCTTTGGGTCTGTTACTGCACATACCTGTTAATGACTGCCTGATCAGCTTCAAGTCTAAACACACGAGGTTTGGGGTTTCCCTCCTGCGGCTTAGGGGTGACCGTGCCCACTTCCACAAAGCCAAATCCCAACCGGTATAGAGCATCCACTGCCTCCCCATGCTTGTCAAAGCCTGCGGCGATCCCAACAGGGTTTCTGAATCTTTGACCCATCACATTCACCTCCTGGTAAAATGAAAGCAGTGGTTCAAACCTGGGCTATTTTACTGCAAAGGAATTACCACACAAAACCTGGACATGCCTTAAGCAGGGCTGACTTTGAGTATGAAACATGACCAAGCTGTATCAAACTGCAGAACACTGAAGGCATGATTGTTAATGCAGGGCCAATTCATGTAAAACCGCAGCCTCTTGACTGCGATTGTGCCTGATAAAAACTGTGCAAAATGTAACTGTATCTTCATTAGATTCTCAGATGTAGAGATGTAGAGCTAAACTGTTAATATCTCTATAACTCCACAATAAAGTAAATCAGAGTTTTCAGTCTTTTTGCCAGTTAGGTATTAGACAGTGTACTCCACTGGCTTTAATACATTTCTACATAATTACATCATTTATAAGTAAAGAGAGTCTTTTAGACTGATTTGATGTAAAATGTGCCATTCTAGATAAACTGACCACAGTGGTGGTGATTGGACCCAGATATCTGAAGCCTCTGAAGTTATAACATTAAATGGTTAAAAATATGCTGTCTGATGCCTGATATATGCTTTTTTTTATTATAGCTTTGAGATTAGGTTTTGACCTAGAACTTATTTTTTCTCAAATATCCATTCATATTAGAGAAGTATACAATGCGCTCCACAAATATCGGCACCTGTGGAAAACACGAGCAAAGTGGGCTGTTAAGAACATTCTTACAATAAAATAGCTAAACAGTTGAAAATGCCAATATCCACCATCAGAGCAATAATTAAGAAGTTTAAAGCAATTGGAGATGTTAGGAATCTTCCTGGAACAGGACACATGTCTACACTATAATAGTCCCCATAGAACACTTATTTTGGATTGACCACTGTTTTAACATTATCATTTGACATTACATATTAGGACAAATGTAAATTCACTGACCACTTTGGATTGTAAATAAAATGGCTATATTGGCATTATAGACATTGTGAGCCCTGGTTCCTGTCGCCATCAGTGTACAAAAATATGGTAAGTTTCTCTAACCATTTCACACCAAACCACTCTCAATGATTTTGAAAAATCTGTGGAATTTCTTTTTAAAGTAATAAACATTTTCAATTTCCGAGCATGAAAATATGATCACATTACATTTATATTCCAAATACACCAAATTTTGACAGGAACAGAAAGTCCACAAAAAGATGTAAATGGAGATACACATGAATGTTCTGCTAACTGACCAGTGAGGCAGGGTCCTGGTAGCGGTTTCTGGGCACCAGGCCGAGACTGAGGAGCCGCACAGCCATCACATGAGCTGTTTCTGCTCCTATCAGCTTCTGCAGGACAGGCATGAGGGCGCTAGCATAGAACCGTTCATCTCCAGACACAGTGAGGTAACCCAGGAACACAGCACTGCCACATCCCAAAATCTTTACTGCGTCCTTCAGCCGCTCCTGTGTGAAGAAGACTCTGTTTAGAGGATGTACAGCAAACTTTCTATGGCCACTTTAGTATCAAAGGTCCAGTTAATACATATTAGCATCCATCTCAATTGATCTGATCACAAACGGACAGCAAGACGTAAAACTTTTTATTGGGGATGTAAAAAATACAATTTATCATAAAGTATTGAATTGTAGCATAATGTTAGGGGTGGCCAACATGGCAAAAATATCATCTGATACATACAATGAACCAGTACTGCCACATTTTAAAAAAGCCATCAAAAACTCTGGGTACGAAAATGTATTAAACTGGGTAAACTTTGATAGAGTTCTTGTATTTATTTGCTTCTGACTCTGTCGTTGTGTAACACTGATGAATTGATTGAAATGTTTGCTGCCTTGTTTTATCTCACTTTTGCACTTTGCACTTGAGCACCTATGCCTGGTAAATAAAGAAAAAGTTTTGATGGCTCAGCTTTCAAAACCTTTTTCATTTTGTGGCTATTTTGGCTCCTTTTTGGTGTCATTTGGTTACTTCTACTATATGTAGTTTTGTGTTTTGACTTACATATCCAAGATTTGATAGTAGTTACAGATTTTAAGGCGCAGTCTGAAGATCTTTATTTTTATAATAATTCAATATTTCACATATAGTGCTGCTCTAAATTCAATTAAATAGGACTAATTTTACTTTATCATGAAACATGCAGTTGGTCAGTGTTCTTTAAGTACTGACAATTATCAACAATATATTCAGAAAAGTACATTGTTATCACGATAACAATGAAATATTGTCATATTGCCAACCTCTACGTAATGTACTGTACTGTTGTATCATGACTTGCGTGGGGCTAACATATTAGCTTGTGGCTTGAGCATTAGATCGGGGTTCTATAAAGAACAGTGTTTGTTTCAAATACTTTAATAATGCTGAATACACTGTAGTCAACCAACCACTTCAGGGTGAACTTCTTTAGTTTGCTGCTGGCTAAAAATACTAGAAGCCAAGTCACCTAAAGCTTTTTAATAAATACATCCCCAAAACTCCCCTCAACCTGCTCAAACGACATCCAGGTCCTCATTAAGGTCAGGCAGACTTTAAACAACACACTTGAACTAAACATTATGTAGCTAAACACTGGGGGGCAGTCATTTCAGACAACGCCGCTGTGCCGAATCACAACTTCCCCTCACATGCATGCACGATTTGTGATTTCTGTTTCTATTCTTAAACATATATCTTCAGTTCAAAAACTCAAGATTAACAGGTATTTATCATAAAGAAACAACAGAAAGTGGCTGCCCACATAGTTTGGATAATTTGAACTGAATTCATTTTTATAGTTCATGGTAAGACATACTACACCCAAACAGAAGACAGGATATGCTGGAGAATCACTATCCATATGGTCGCCAGGAGTCAGAATTGACTTGACATCCCCTTAATAATAATTATCATTATTGCAAGTAAACAGAAACTTCCTATATAAGTTCATGTCTTCTGTAACTCAGGGGCTCCTCTTGGCAGGGCGCACTGAATAAAAAGTTAATTCAACTGCATAAGTTTTGTTTTGGCTCATTTTGAGGGGGTTAAATGTTTTCAAGTCACCGCAAATGTTAGTCCAAACCTTTCTACCTTTTAATAGCTTACTGTCATAACAAGCAGCAAAACCTTGATTTGGTCATTCTGAGCCTCCGGATTAATTCAGAATGACCGCCTTTCAGCCACGGCCATGACTGATTTTTATCCATTTCAAAGGCGTTCATTCAACAGATTGTGATTATAGTCTCAAGTGTAGTCTGAAACCCCTGCACATCTAAACTGATATAATTTACTTATTAAATCTTATTCTCAGAAGTCCATAGTTCACAAGTCCATTTTAGTGCTCTCAGCTAAACAGTTTCAGGCTGACAGACTGTCTACTCCACTGAATCCAGAGATACTGCACCAAATGAAATCTCTGTAGAGATCATAAATCTAGATTGTACAAAACCGGGAAACAGGACATTTATAATTTGGGTGTCAAAACTGGGGATGCACGATGACATCAGTATTATATCAGGATTTCCCCATAATGCTAATCCAGGTAGATAAAGTCCCAAATTTTAAAGTTGAAAGACGTTTATGTATGAGCTTCAGCAGACATGTACATAAAAATACCGGTGCATTTCTTGCCAAAACTACTGGCACCTTTGATTGAGGAGTGCAGGCTTCTAAGGCTACGTTCACATTACCAGGTTGAAGTGGCACAAATCCAATTTTCTGGCCTAATGTGACTCAGATCTGATGTTTTCAGAGCTGTGTGGACACACAAATCTGATCTTTTCAAATCAGACCTAAGTCAATTTCATATGTGGTCCTAGATCGGATACATATCCCATTCGTGGCCATGCGGCCCTAACGTGATGCTCAGATCGGAGTTCAGCTGCTTTTTTCCACTGTGCATGCGCCATTATTCAGCGTTACCATGGCAGCAGCGCCGAATAGAAGTTAAAGCCTGTAAACGATGGAAAAGCAACATATTTCACCTTTTTCACCTTCGTCTCGCTCTAATAATGAAGCTGAGAGCTGATCAGAGTCAATTATCTTCGCAGCGAAGGCTCGTTCTGCTCGTTAGTCTGTTTGCTGATGATTCACGTGACGTTACTGAGTAGGATGTGCGCATGCGGGTCATTTCAGGACGCCGGTTCGTTCACATTAATTACAGATTTGAATCACTTACCTAAACGAGAGTGAACCATCGTGTCAGAGAGATCGGATTTGAGCAAAAAATCGGATTTGAGAAATGAGGCTTGTAGTGTGAACTTAGCTCAAAAAAAAATATGTTTGCAAACAGCTTTCGCATTTGAGCACTGGAGAAGACAGAGGGGCCTGTCTGGGGGTCCTGATCAATGACTGACTGTGGATAATGTGCCTGCGGGCTGGGCAGAATGAGAGTGGAGCACTGATTAGTTAGTTAGCTGAGGCATTAAGGTCATGCGCAGTCTTCCTCTGAGGAAATCCTTCAGTTGTATAACGTTACCTCAAAAACATACATTTGTGCAAAAGCCGAAGGAAAAACGTGGTTTATACATGAGGAACAAACTGGTAAACGAGTAACAAACATAGAGAAAAGGTCTAAATTCTGGATGTGAGAAGTAAAACTTCAGCTGGACTCAGCATTTCAGTCTGCCATGTGAGAGAAACACACAGCAAACGGATCAGGTGTTAAAAGCACTGCGGCTAAACCGTTACAACTGAGGCACGTTTTTGCTACAGCGGAATGAGTTTTTATTATTTTAGCGTTAATGAAAAAACGTCGGGCAAATAAGTCATCGAAGAAATATTCAGCACTTCTTAAAAGTTACCTTCAGCTGCGCCGCCATGCTCACTCACGCTGTAAACACTGGAAACGCTTCCCGCGAGTCTCACTTCCTCTACGAGTTCTCGCGATACTGAGAGTGCTAGATTTGCTGATGTACAAATCATTATCACAGCGAAACTCTTTGAGCGAATGACTTGTACATCTTCAGATTTGTGTGTATTGTCATTTTTTAATAATTACTATGCTACTTTTACATATGTATGACATATATTACAGCGTGTTAGAGTATGACGTGACCTCTTTTTTAAGAAAAGTAATAAAAATACCAATTTTACTATAGATATTTGGGAGTCTTGGTGTCAGCCTTCCTTATTTTCTCACCCGCTAGGCCTGCTAGGCATGGTTCACAGATTTGAATTTCTACTTGACAGTTGGCCACTGAACCTGTCAAAAATGGCTACATTTTCATTCATGTTGTATTACTTTATTTGGTCAAAAATTCAAAATTATTGTCCCTAGCCTTCCGTTGCTACAGCTGACACCAAGCAACCTAGAAATGAAACTTTAAGGTAAGTCAAGACTTTGCATGTAGTTTGAGTGTCTGCTGTTATTTTCCTAATGAAGTTAGCTCACATTCACTGTTTTCACAAAGCATTGCCAAATTTGCCTAAGATGGACAGAGACTGCCTGTTTTCCAGTCTCTGTAATCTTCCCTGGAAGTGAAGTTTACTTTTCAACTCTTCCACCATGGCTTTCTTAAGGCAGATGTGCATTTATTGCTGGATTTTAGGGGCTTTTCTTTCGCTTTTATCTGCTGAATCCTGTGACAATGACACTGAGGGCCAAATATATGATTACAGAGATAGGGCCAAATGCGTTGTTGGGGACGTGTGCTATGAATTTGCTGAAGAGCCGAAGACTTGGGCCCAGGCAAGAAAAGCATGTGAGAGTCGTCGAAGAGGGCAACTTCTTACATTTATAGACTGCAAAATTAAGGCGTTTTTACTGAATCTGATCGCAGATGTTGAGACTACATCTAAAGGCTGGTGGGTCGGTGAGGGTTTGATGGGACTGTACAATAATAATCTTCTTGGTGGTGAGTAGAAAAGAATACTGTAAATACTGTAAGATTGGAAAATTGGTAGAGAAGAGAATTGCTGTTCTTTTCTGCTACCAAGTTCATAACAATAATAATAATGTAACACTATCACTGTAAAGTCAGTAGGGAACTTTTTTTGTTGTACCCATTTCTCTAAAAAGTCACCTAAGCCTGGGATTTTAAAGGGTTAATGATTAAATGATTAGGGTTAGCTTCTTGGCTTGGTCTAATGTCTTGAATAGGGATATCTTGATTAACCAATTAATGTCCATATATAAAATGTCAAGTTTCATTTGATTCTCTAAATTGCCTGAGAACAAATCTAAAGTAAGTTTTTTTTATACTTAATTTATCATATTAAAGGGGAAACCGATTTTTCTAAATTTCAGTCAAATAAAGTCATTAAGTTGTTTGTTGTGAAAAGTCAGAATTGTTCACAGTGGTGGTGATAGTAACCAGACATCTACAGAGTTTTATGCTCCAAAAAATTACCTCACAGAAAGTTACATGAAATAGCTATACCGTACACTGCCTGATGCCTGAGGTTGGAGATAGTGATCACTTTCAGAGAAACACATAAAACTTTTAAAATTTTTAATAAAAAATTTTATTTTTTAAATAAATACATTTAAAAAGATAAAATAAAAAAAAATAAATACATGACCGCGACCCTATCTGGACTAAGCGGTTAACGATGATGATGAATAAATACATGCAAAGAGTTTTACAGCAAAGTATTACTTAAATACAGCTTTATTTTTCAGATTTACCACTGTTATACCATTACCAACATATAAAAACTCAGAACACAGGTGTGGGTTCAATGGTCATTTTTGACAGCAAATAAAATGGCTATATTTGCATTGTAGATATTGTGACTTCTGGTTCCTATCTCCACCACTTTAAATAAATCTGAGTCAGTAAGTTTTGCAACAGTAAACCATTTCACATTAAAAGTCTCTAAACTACATCGCCACGATTGAATTTTTGAAAAATTGGTGGAATTCCCCCTTAAATTCTAACCTTTGGTTTGCGTGGGTCTACTTTGTACAAAGCAATAGAAAATTCAAATTTGGGTGCGAGTAAGATAAATAAATAAATAAATGAGTACTGTCATATGTTAGTTCAAGGTATAACTAGACAAATTGTCATTGTTTTAGACCAAGATTTCTTTCTTATTCTACATGGACAGGAATGGGTTAATCATGTACTACACACTGTCAGGATGACAAATTGCTGATAATTTTAAAGGTTTTAATTCTGACCACATGTAAGACCCTCTGTTTATTTTAACACTGCCACAGTAACTGTGTTGCACAGGTGTAGAAAACCCTCAGTGAAGGCTGAATGCAAATATGTAGCGAACATTTGTTTTCTGCATGTAATCATGTTTTGAATATGTGTTATGATAAATGCACAGGCTCATCGTCTTTTAAAACCGAGGGCAGCAGTGAGGAGGATAGTGTTAACCCACTTCTTTGCACCTATTTGATCCTGGAACCTTTTCAGCTGGTGACCACACCCAACTGTGATTTGACCTTTGGTTACCTGTGCACGCTAGGTAAAGAAAAAAAGCCTTACATCATACCTTGTATTTTGAGTCAGTACAGCAAATATAACACAGATATATAACTCTATAAATTAAAACAAAGATTTATGATTCTTTACTCTTACAGATTTTGAAGTACAAACAAATTTTTCTGGAAGTTCTAGAAACCGGAGGAGCGCAGGGGAGGATCAACAAAGTGAGTCAACATGATACAACAGCAGAAGATTATAGGCCATACATTTTACATACAAGCACTTTTATCTCACTCTTTCTCTCTCTACAGTAAGCGATCTCTTAAATGATATGGCTTCTGCAATACTCGACATAAATAATCTTCTTGCAGTAAGTGAGATGTTTCTTTTCTTGCATAGCGTGATGGATTAGACAATTGCTGGTACTCTTTTTAACATCATGGTGTATTTTTCAGATTGCTCAGAAAACGATAAACACACTGGAAAGTCAACCAGTACAGATTTCACATGATGGAAAGGTGATCTATCTCCATGTACCCTCAATCTATTTGTTATTTCAGTGAATTCTTTTTTTATACTATTATTGTTCATTTAATGAAAATATCAGAGCTGGCTCTACCTAATAAGCAACATAAGTAGCTGCTTTTAGGTAACTACTGTAAGTTACCAGTATGTTGTCTAAAAAAGTGACTGGTTAATCATGTCTCAAAAAGGAGAAGATGAGGAGAAAAAGCTAAAAGATAAAGATATATTTTGGTTTTATTTTGAGGTGTTAATGTTTTTTTGGCTTTTGGTCCATAAAGCAAGAAGTAGTCAGTCTGGACAGAGATGTCTGCTAAGACGTTTTATTTCATTCCTGAAGCTGAAAAAGCTTTGGATTAAACTAATGTTATGTGAAAGACCACACTCACTATGTCAAAATCACAATATCAAAACTATTAAAAGACAGAATGCTGGCTCAAAGGCAAGCTAAATTATATATATATATATATATGGGTTACTACTTGCTTAAAACTGTGCAGCGTTCACATTTGTGATTAAAACATTGTTAAAACATGAACAAAAAATTAATGCACTCATATTCATGGCATTCTTTGTATTGTTTCATTAAAGTTTACAAATCTTTCTTATCATCTAAAGCCGCTTTTCTACAGCATGGTCCCGGCTCGACTCAACTTGACTCGATATAGTACCCCCCTCAATGTAGCCGGTCATCATAGCAATGCCAAATGAAACTGCCGTGAGGCGAAGGTGACAAATTTTGTTCCAAAGAGGCTGATATCAGCAAGACAGAAAGACTGCTGAAAAAAAAAACAGGAGAGTTTGGGAAAAACTACATCAGAGTTCAGACAACGAGACTAAGACAAGAGTTCTGGTTGCTCAAAAAAGGCAATGCAAGAGGGTACGCTAATCTGGTAGCTAATGTTAGCAGTCTGTAGCGTATTTATGTCACCTTTTGGTATTGACTCAGCTCGCTTGGAACCTCAACAGAGGTAGTACCAGAAATAGTACCCAGTACCAGGTACCAGATTTGCCTAGTGGAAAACCAAAAAAGGCAAGTAGAGTCGAGTCGAGCCATTACCATTGCATGGTACCGGCTCAGCTCAACTGACTCTACTCACTTTTTGAGTTTTCCATTAGGCAAATCTAGTACCTGGTACTGTTTTTATTTTGATATCACCTCTGACCAAAAGGTGACGCGGAAAAACTGCAGACTACTGATTGGTTGGAGAGAATCTTCACTATCCCCCTAAACACATATGCTAACATAACTATCAGGTTAGTGTACCTGCTTGTGTCACCTTTGAGCAGCCAGAACCACCTTGTCATCTGAACTCTGATGTAGTTTTTCCCAAGCTCTCCTGTTTTTTCAGCAGTCTTTTGTCTTGCTGATATCAGCCTCTTCTGAACAAAATTTCATATGGTGTCACTACGATGACCAGTTACATTGAGGGGGTGTTATATCTGCAGTGGAAAACAAAGTAGCTGGTACCAAAAGCAAGTAGAGTCAAGTAGAGTTGAGCTATACTGTGCAGTGGAAAAGCACCGTAATGTTGTTATGATGAGCTCCAGTGTTAGCTTCAGCATTAGCTCATCTGAAGGGGCAGCTTCCGTCACTAAAACATCCCCCTTAGTAGACATCAAAACCAATTGCTTTCATGTCGAGTGGCTAAATTATTTCCTTGGTTTAGTTAATGAAAACGTGGTTTCCAGAATCCTTTATTGTCTTTAAATTGAAGCTTATTTTTACTAGAAAAATATTTGTACTTCTACATTTTTCTTCATACTACTTTTTTACTTTTTTTAAGTACAAGGATTAGAGATGCTACAAGGTAGCCTGAGTTGAAAGTTAGATGGACACTAGCAAGGATTTCTGTAGACTTTTTGGCTCCTACTACTGTTTTTAGTTGGTTATGTGACACACTGTTGTCCGTTTTTAGAAACAACAGTGTCAAAACCGCATAAGCAAGTTTATTTGAG